TTTTTTTTTTTTTTAAAGAATCCTTCTGTTGTTTTGGGATATAAAGTTCAAGTTCATGCTTTGTTTTTGTTCTTGTAAATTTCGTGTCCTCAGTTTTAGAATTGTTCCCGTTTTTATCTTTTATATTTTTCAAGAAATAAAAAATGAAAATAATTTTAAAACCGCGTTTGGCACAATAAACATAAAAAATAGAAATAAAAATGATTTTTTTGATTTAATGTAAAATGAGAGAGAAATGAAAAATGACTTTTAGTCGTTTTTCATTTTTTGTCTTCGTTTTCTCATCTCTCGAACAGAGAGAAAAAAAGAGAGACATTAATGAATTTTTTTATACTGAAAATAATCTCATAATAAAATTACTAAAAATATTTTTAAAAATAATTTATGTCTGAGATTAAAATTATTTTTATTTTTATTTTCATATAAAAAATAAAATTATTTTGAAACGAGTTTCAAACGGTCCTATAATTGTCATTGGGATGATGGGCCTTTAAACAACAGGGATAACAGGCCTATTAAACATTGTAAACCTGACGGTGCATTAGAGAGAGAAAGACGCCGGTGAATTGGAGGAATACTACTTCTAAAGAATTTTAGAACTTAAATATCGATTTTTTTCCTGAAAATTTACTCCTAATTTTTACATCAAAATGTTACAGATAACTAACTACACTTCCAAATTAGTATACTGTATGCAGCCTGATTTGTACGATTTTTATTGTTGTGTAAATTGGGCACATAGTCTAACCAGAATATATATCTCTTTTATGTATAAATTTAATTCAAATCTTTCCGCAAAGTAATATAGTCGAACACCAACTCTTTAAATCTTGCCCACACGTATGTCTGAATTTTTACTCCTTATTTTTAATTAATTTTTTTTGTTAAATAAATAAATATTAATTAAGAATAAGACGTAAAAATCAATACTTATGTAACTTTTAAGAGTAAGTTTAACAATTTTTTCTAAAAAGGACCCATTTTCCCCTCTAGTTTTCTCTTTTTCCGTTTCTCTTTGAAGCTTATGCCCTGCAATCCTCGATTAAGTCAAGCACCTTTGTTCTTAAGTTTTTTTTTTTTTTTTTTTTTTTTTTTTTTCCCCTCTTTCCTTTATTTTTTTTTTTTTTTTTTTTTTTTTTTTTTTTTTTTTTTTTTCCCCTCTGTCCTTAACTTTAATTTTTTTTCTTCTTTTTAAGAAAGCGTTACATGACAAAAGCTTTCGAGGGTTTTCTTTGTTTCTTTTCATGAAGTTTTATTTCCCCTCGGGAGAGAATATTAAAAAAAAAAAAAAAAAAAAAAAAACTCCATTTTATCAACGCCAATATTGAAACAACGGCAAGAAACCAAATACTGCTTCGAACGTGAGCTTATACATATACATGATTTTAGTCATACCTCGAGCCTTTGTCGTGATTTTAAGTAAATTTTATAAAGAATTGTGCACAACATTTTTATATTCCGTACTTGATACACACACAGATATATATATATATATATATGTATTGTGATGTTTATATACCAATATAAAACTCAGGCCACTTCACCGCAGATTGATATTAAGAAGCCCCGAAACTCACGAATGAAGAAGAACTTTAATGCATAGGAATGCCAAAATATGAATAAACTATATACAAGTTCCCAATAAAAAAAAAAAAAAAAAAAAGCAAAGGAAAACTGGTCCATTCAACTCTCCAAGTGTCGTATCACAAATATTATAATTGAAAAAAATCTAAAGGACATGGGCGACCCATGTCGTATATATATGTCTAATACTTTTTTAGATACAATTACACGTACAGAATCTTCATTATTCCACAAAAAAAAAAAAAAAAAAAAATCTGAGTGTGAGTCTAGCTAATTTATTCTAATAAACTCCAAATTAAGATATTTATATATAAATTATATAAACCCGGCAAAAGGGTCGTGCCCACGAGTGGAGAGTGGGGAAAAATGGTCCCTGAAAATCAGATTCATGCCACTCAATATCTTGTAACTCAATTACCTAATCTCACTTTGGTGTGTCTTCAGGGCTTGTCTCTACTGAAGACATTATTGCACGAAGAGTATAATTCTCAGATAGTTCATTTTTAGTGGAGTATTATGTGGCGCATAGTTGAAGCTCAGATGAGTTGTATTTTTTTTTTTTTTTTTGATAAACAATCAAAAGTTAGTCTCCTAATGATGGATTATATTATTATTAATCACTAACCGTTTATCAAATTGCTTTCTGATATTCGGTGAAGGAACATAATTATAATCTTACAAATGCTAATCTTAAACACAATTTATATGTAAATAGAGTTAAGTGACGTGTATGCCACCGATATCGACATTAATGATCTCTATTGAATTATGCAGAGTGGAATAAAGGTCGTGTAACATGACAACTAAGAGGAC